GGTCAAGTCAGTTGATGGTCTGCATGGCACTCGACGAGATGAACGTACCTGGGAGGTAGCAGTAGAAGGGCTTCTCCCTGGTGTGGGAGCGCATGTGTGCCTTCAACGCGTAGCCACTTGCGTGGGCCATGCTCTTTCTGTTGCATCCGTTCCATTCGCAGGTATACTTCTTCTGACGACTCTCAATATGGTCGTTGTGGATATGCTCGACCAACTTGTCCATGTTGCCGAGGTCACCCGCGTCGCAGCCTTCCCATGCGCAGAAAGTGACCTGCTCTTGGAAGTCCTCTTCGTCGAGTCTAGCATTGATGGGCGAGCTGGGAATGTCACCAGATGTATCCGAAGAGACGTCTGACAGGCCCTCGAGAGGGTCAGCCTCGGCTTCGGGCTCATGCTCGGGCTCAGGCTCCTGGACTGGTGCAGGCGCAGGGGATGTCGTTGAGGTTGCTCCTAGTCTCTGTCGCTTCGAAGGTCTGAGAAGGGATTCATCCTCATAATCGTGAGCTTCGTTGTCAGAAGCGTCCGTGTTATCCATGGAGGAAAGAGGCGACTCGGGCGGTGTAGAATGGCGCGCCATTGTGTGCTGTTTGATGCCAAAAAAGCTCTTTCGAAGGATGCAGAAAACAGTACCAAGTGGTATGTGATGGCCGCGTGAGATTAATTTTAGGGTGAAGAGGATGGACTGTGTTCCTTGTAGTTGTGCTGATGAAATTGAAACTCGCAGCAAGAGACAAAGCTGCTCGTGCAGAGATGAAAAAGAGCCCAGCACCAAAGCAATTGCTGGGGAAAAGTCACGTCAGTCGAAAGGGTGCTCCTGGCAACCTTAATGGTGTTTGCGCCTGCACCTGGATCGCGACGACCGTGGCTCACGGAGCTCACCCAGTGGGTCCAGTCCTTCCCAGCTGCGAATTTCCGGGGCGATTCTACCAGCTGGGGAGCAGGTGGCAGACTTCCCCTTGCCAGTGTCGGACACTCAGCTGCCAGGCACCCACGACGCAGCCCAGGCACACCCCCTGTAAGTTGGGGTCTCGAAATCCTTCACTATTTTGTTTATGCCCCTCCCCCACCATCACAACCCAGACAGACACTCATTTTGCGCATTTGCTGCCTCCTTGCTCCCAGCATTCCAAAACACTCTTCTTTGCACCGAAATAATCATGGCGACCACGCGCAAGGTGTTCTCCCTTGAGGGAAAGGGTCTCAGGCTCGACACTGCTGCTGACCTCGAGCCCCATATTGCCGAGTTGCGCTCTACCGATGTGGAGGAAGTTCAGTTCCTTGGAAACACTTTGGGAGTCGGCGCTTGCAAGCTTCTCGGAGAGGTCTTGGCCACCAAGAAGAACCTTCAGGTTGGTTCACCAGTTCTCCGTTATTCTAACCGCGCATGCTGACAAGACCAACACCAGTCCGCTGATCTTTCCGACATCTTCACTGGACGTCTCCTGAGCGAGATTCCCGAGGCGCTCTCCTCCCTCCTGACGTCCATCCTGAACCTTCCCAAGCTCAACACGATTAACCTTAACGATAATGCCTTCGGCATCAACACCCAGGCTCCCGTCGTTGCCTTCCTGGCTGCCCACGTGCCCCTCCAGCACCTTTACCTGAACAACAATGGTCTCGGTCCCCATGCTGGTATCCTGGTCGCGGATGCGCTCTCTGAGTTGCACGCCAAGAAAGAGGCGGCTAGAAAGGAGGGCAAGGAGGTTCCAGACCTTGAGACCGTTATCTGCGGTCGCAACCGCCTGGAGAACGGCAGTATGCAGGCCTGGGCCAAGGCCTTCAGCCTCCACAACAAGATCAAGGAGATTAAGATGGTCCAAAACGGCATCCGTCAGGAGGGGATCAGCCATCTTATCAGCGAGGGTCTGAACCACGCGACCGAGCTGCGCATCCTCGATCTCCAGGATAACACCTTCACCCTTTCCGGCGCCAAGGCCGTCGCCAGCGTTCTCCCCAACTGGGCGCATCTGCAAGAGCTGGGCCTCAACGACGCCTACCTGACTGCCAAGGGTACCGCTCTCGTTGCCAAGGCTCTTGCTAAGGGCAACCAGGACAAGCTCGAGATTCTCCGTCTGCAGTTCAACGACATTACCGCCAAGGCTCTCACGGGCATTGCCAGCGCCGCTGCCGACTCTCTGCCTGCTCTGAAAAAGGTTGAGTTGAACGGTAACAAGTTCGAAGAGGAAGATCCCTCCGTCGTCTCTATCCGTGAGCTTCTCGAGGAGCGCAAGGAGAAGCTCGGTGGTGATATTATCGACGAGGACGCATGGGGTCTTGACAGCCTCAGCGACCTGGAAGAGGAGGATTCCGACGAGGAGGAGGAAGAAGAGTCGGATGAGGAGGAGGAGCTCGAGCCCGAGAAGAGGGCCGAGATCCTCGTCAAGGAGGCCGAGGAGGCTCAGGAGCAGCCTACCGTCCAGCTCAAGGATAAGGAGGTGGACGACCTGGCCAAGAAGTTGGAGAAGACGGGAATTTAGAATCAGAAGAAAGAATCCCTTTGGTTTATTAGTTTAGAAGGCGGAACGCAAGAGGAAGGCCCCATTACACGGAGACACGATACCCCCAAAATACACTTCATCCCCCCATTACCCCTCTGCCCCCCAAACACCACCCACGACCTGCGAGATACATCGCCAACTCGCATATGTCGAGTTATGGCTGCGCATATCCGCATGAGAGGCTGCCTGCTTGTTGCTTAGCAACTTTTGCGCCCTCGCGGCATGCGCGTACAAGGTTCCCTCTCGCGTTTGGGGTGCATCATCCCGCAGCTCCCCGGCCATCACTCCACGATCACCCCACACATCTGGCCGTCTTGAGCACAGCCATATCACAAGAGCACTGCAAATAAATTGCGTGAGCAAGAATGTCTACATATAATGGGAACAGCGTCTGTTCCTAGAGACTGCATTATACTGATAGCAATAAACTTAACATCATCAATCACACCAAAACTTACATTGCAAGCACACATTGAACCTATATGACAGGCCACTACCTGTTCGAGACAACGGACTCGGTGATTGAAATACTCTGGGATGTGGCGCTCGCGTTCTTCATCGTCCGCATCGCTTGGACTTATTTCCTCCTCACCTTCTCGACAAGCGCGCTCCTTTCATGGGTAATCTGCAAATACCCAGAGCTGCTGCTACCCGCGTCCAAGCAGCACCTCACGACGTCAGAAGCGGAGCTCATGCTCATCCCGCTACAGGCAATAGTCGGGGTCGTCTGGGCCCGCTATGTCGTCGTTGCCTATGAGATCCCGCGCGTGGCGTGGTTTAGGCTCGCCCTCGGCGGGCTAGCGGCTCTCTTCATGTTCGCGGCCGAGGCGCTGCTGGGGCTCGTGTTGTACGAAGAGGGCTACGGGGACTGGATCCGGGAGACTGACGGCACGACGTGGCTCGCGTCTGCCGGACTTCTTGGGGCTTTTGCTCTGATGCCTACTGCGTTGATGGGGTTCGAGGGTAAAGCTGCCGATGGGGTGGAGGGGGAGGTTGTGACGGCGGGCTCGACGTCGCTTGGGCTTGGAGGCAAGGTGTTGATGGAAGCAGTGTAAGTTCAGCGGTCAGTGTTCAGGGGCATTGCTGACATGTTCTAGACCTGCGATGAGTGTTGCGTCCAAGGATGAGCTGAAAGGGGAGAGAGATTGATGGGAGGTTGTGAGTGACGGTTCATGACATGTTTCACGGCTTGTAATTTGGTTCTGTAATCTGGAAATGGTTGCTGAATTGCTCAAGGTTTCAATATTCCATGTTCCGCCCTGGGGGATTTGAATCAGTACTTAGGAAGTTTCGAGGATAAAATTAATCATAAAACAACCAGTGATAGTTGGACAGAAGTAATTTCAGCGTTGATAATGTGCGCCATTGTCAGCTAAGACATCGTGCCCGGGAGTGACGCAAATACGTCTAGCTGTGTAAATGGACTCAAAGCTCTCACATACTGAGTCTTCCAAGCTTCCTGTCTCCTCAATATTCTCACTTCATGTTACCAAGCCTTTGCTTTATTCCTCCAGCTCTATTCAAAAGGGTGACTCGTTTTGCAACGCCAGCTGACCTGAATCACCTGGTCAAGAAGATGGTGAGATTGAATGTGCCGGAACAGGATGGCAGCTGCCAGTGGAGCGAGTTGGGTCCAGGTCGCCTGTGCGCCGGGCGCTCCCGCTGTGGCACTGTGGCAGGGTTCATTCTTCAGGGTGTTCCAGTACCTGGAAAAGTGGATACCAACCGCCACCATGAAGCACGACTGAAGGATCCTGTCTGTCAACCCCAACCTCAACCTCTTCTCTTCACCATCCTGGGTCCATCTTGGGTGACATCTGACCTGGGGATCCGACCAGCTTACAGAGAAGAGCCTGATGTCTATTCCGAAGTCGTCTCATATTCATCTCCGTGCTGTTCACTGGCACACGATCACAGCCAGAGGGAACTCTCTGGGCCTCGAAATTGTCCCGATGAACACAGTATCACCCCAGAGAACACGACTCTTTATTTTGGACAACGTTCATTCTGGGAACAACATTGAAAGAGGCTCATCTGACTCGGTTCCAGAGAACAACAGAGGTATCTCTGAAACTGCTGGTTCATCTTCCTAAACTAGGCCGGGTAGTTCTGAACGGGTGAGGAAATCACAAACCTTGAGAAGCGTCAAGATGCCGAGGCGTTACAGTCTAGACCGATGTCTTGGGCCGGGCTACCTGAGAATATTGATGGCTTGCATATTACCGCGTGGATCTCTGAACCCTTTGCTTGAGAGAATTGGTGAACCAGAACAGGCCTCACCATTCCTTGGCAGGCCGCAGGTTCATACGGGGGTTGGTGAAACTTACGGGGCACATTCCTCACGATGAAGAGTCTCGTCTCACCCATCACCAACCCCCAGGGGACTCAAGAGCCTCATCGCAATAAGTCTATATCTTTTCTCTACAGCTCTCAGTTATCTCCCTTGTTCTTTTCTTTTTTGTCTTGTCATCACCAGCCTGTTTGAGACATTGATCTGCCATCATGATCAAAACGACTCTTTTCTTGCCTCTCCTCCTCAGCATCGTGGGCGCTGTGCCCATGATGAACAGTTCGCCTTCCCAGGCCGGCTGTAGCAATCCAGACACCGTGACAGTGTCCACAATAGTTACTAGAACAACACAGCGTGGCGGAAATGCCTCGAGTCCACCAACAGTCCCATCGAACAGGCCGGTATCTTCAAGTCCGCCTACCGCGCCCTCAAATCCGACGCCGGTAAAGTCCTCACCAGCATCAAACACCGGAAGCTCTAGTCCGCCAGCGAGCAGCGGCGGTAGCAGTGGAGGGACATCACCAGCGTCAGGCTTCAGAAATGTTTTGTACTTCACAAACTGGTACGTCGCCTTTGACTGCCACTTTCACTCACCTCCAAGCTGACCAGTTCAGGGGCGTCTACGGCGCCAACTACCAACCATCAGATTTGCCCGCCGACAAGGTCACCCATCTTCTCTACTCCTTCGCCGACATTTCCTCGGACGGTACAGTGTAAGTTCCAACATCATCCCACATAACCCCCGTGACCAGACTGACAAATCCCCAGCATCTCATCCGACCCCTATTCAGACACGCAAAAGCTGTACCCCGGCGACACCAGCACCGCGGGCAACGCAAACGGTTGCGTCGGCCAAATCTACGCCCTCAAGAAGAAGAACCGCAAACTGAAAGTCGTCCTCTCCATCGGAGGCTGGACCTGGTCCCCCAAGTTCGTCCCCGTCGCCGCCACCGCCGCCGGCCGCCAGACCTTCGCCTCCTCCGCCGTCAAGCTCATGGCCGACTGGGGCTTCGACGGCATCGACATCGACTGGGAGTACCCCGCCTCCTCCACCGAGGCCGCCAACTTCGTCGCCCTGCTCAAGGCCTGCCGCGAGGCCCTCGACGCCTACGCCGCCAAGAGCGCGCCCGGCTATCACTTCGTCCTCACCGTCGCATGCCCCGCGGGGCCCTCGCACTACCAGCAGATGGACCTCCGCGGCATGGACGCCTACGTCGACGCCTGGCACCTCATGGCCTACGACTACGCCGGTTCCTGGGACACCACGACCGGCCACCAGGCCAACGTCTTCTTCAACCCGCCCACCCCGCTCGCCACCAAGTTCAGCACCGAGGTTGCCTTGACGTACTACCTCGCCCAGGGCATCCGATCCAGCAAGATCGTCCTCGGCATGCCCCTCTACGGCCGCTCGTTCCTCAACACCGACGGCATCGGCCTGCCCTACAGCGGCGTCGGCGCGGGCTCCATCGAGAAGGGCGTATGGCACTACAACGCCCTCCCGCGCGCGGGCGCCAAGGAGATATTCGACGAGAAGGTCGGCGCGCTATACAGCTACGACTCGAGCTCGCGCGAGCTCGTGTCGTACGACAACGTGCAGAGCGCGAACTACAAGACGGACTACATGAAGAGCAAGAGACTCGGCGGCGCGGTCTTCTGGGAGGCGGCGGGTGACAAGAAGGGGGACGGCAGCCTCGTCGCGGCCGTCGCTGGACGGATGGGCTCGCTGGACTCGACGCAGAACTTGCTGAGTTATCCCGGGAGTCAATATGCCAACATCAGGGGCGCTTGATTGTTCGCGAAGGTGTTCTTATTGTGTAAGTTCTTCTTGGTCCTCTCTCCTTTTTCTCTGGCATTAGAGGCGTTGTTGCATACTGGGCTGGTTGCGTTTGGTTTTGTCTTCCCCTTGAGTTTGTCAAAGTTGGGCAATAATGAATTACGAGAATGAGGCACGAGTAGACGACGAACTACATAGACTGAAGTTATAATTTCATGGAACTGTTGAGCCAGTCTCACCTTAATTGTTCCTCGTGACCAAACAACTCTCAGGTGTATGGTGATGGCTCAATACCAGAGAATTTGGTGGGCATGTTGCGGAGCGCAGCTTGTAAAAGCAACAAAAGCCGAAGAACTCATACCACTGGCCCTATGAAAGAGACTTCAAGGGACGGTACGAGGTGAATAACAAGATTCCAAATAACCGCTGTCTACTTCACTCAAGAGGCAATGTCAACGCTGATTCGCCCCGTGCGTTTCTGATCCTTCACCAAGGATGCCAAGGGTGCTTAGACTGATAGGATTCAGGTTCAAACAACTCATCTGTAGTCGCAGCTGGCGATGCATGCCCTAGCTTTGTTCTTTGCAAGACTGTCAAAAATGTTCGGCGAGAACTGCTCTTATCGGGACCGAGCTGGGAAATCGAGATTTGTTACATGAGGCTTGATATCGAGTCCAGTGATTCGTATTTCTGGGAAGAGAATCAACCTGAGCGGATCAGTAGACTTCAGGATGAATCGTATGGCTTGCTGTCCAAGCGTGAAATCATGTCCTACTGCCGAGACTGGATTCTGGCTTGACCTTTCCTATCAGTTGAGCACTTTGGTGAACGGCTGTTGTGAGATTACAACTGCCACAGAACACCTCGAGGCACGCTCATGCGAACGCACAAACAGCACACGTTAGTACGGCCGTTGCAACTAGGGGGACTTTTGTAATGCGATGCTGCGGGCGCACGTCAATAGACACTTGGAGCGGAGGTTTTCCGAACGTTCAAGTCAACCCTTTCAGATTGTCGGGCGAGGGCCTCTATTTGAGGACTGCCGAGAGCTGTGCTTCACACTGAGGAACGCCTAGGAGGCGCGTGGACAAGGCCCGGGGAATTGGCTCTGCGATTCGGTAAGACCCGAGCACTTTACAAGCCTAGCGCTGACAGAAGGGACAGAATTCGCTGGCTTTGGTGCCGGTAGCGTGGTTTGCCAGGGACTAGGTGCACCTTGGGGTTGGTCACCAGTCGGAGGGTCGTCCACCATCCGCGACGGAGCGTGGAAGATCCTCTTTGAGGTTACAAGGGAGCAGTTGGAGAGGTCCGAATAGACTTCTGGGATTTGTTCAGCCAACGACTGGCTGGGTAAGCGTCGTCCAACCGGAGGTTGAGGGAAGAATCCATGTCGGAAAGACCCGTTCGACCGGTGGACTGTGGTGGCGGGAGGGCTTCCCCATGGGACAGGGAGAAGCGCCGGTGGCGAGGATCCAGACAGACAGACCACTTCCCAGAGTAAAGTGTGCGTGACACCGCAGCTTTGGCGGGGGCACGATGATGTCGTTGCTGGTAGCTTTGAAATGCATCGCCAGACGGGGTTCAGGTGTTCGGGGTTTGTGCTTACAAATGCAGTGAACTTAGAGAGAGAGCTCAACTTCGGCTTACGAGGTTCGTTTCGGCGGTATGGAATAGTTCAGTCCAGTGGTTCAATAGGTAATCCCAGACTGACTGTGATACCTGTGATGATAGTTTTGCCTAGGCTGCCGTGTCATCCACAGGTGAGTCATACGGAGAGCGACCGAAAGAAGTTGCATGAAAGTATGGCACCCTTGTCGGCAGAGAGACGGGGTGATTGGTTTGACGGAGCCACCGAGTTGATCGGCATAGAGGAGTTGGTTCTCTTGACGGTTCTAAGCGCGCCCGTTTGATTGTGTAACAAGTGCAAGCGACGTGTAGTGGTAGTCTCGGTCAGCAACTGACATGATGTTGCTGCAGTCATGTTTGGTGCATGTTGAAGCTGCGAGTTGAACGTGGATGGTGTTAGTGGTGGTGGTGGTGGCAGAGGGAGTTGGAGTGCGGCTGCTGTGGGTGAAACTGGGCGCTGATTGGAGCGCTGAGGAAGTCATTCATCAAATGGGGCAGGATTTCGCTGCGGTTCCCCTTGCCCTTCAGTTGCTGCACCTGCCACCGTATCCCGTACGTCGGGAGGGAACCACGACGCACCGGCCTGCGGGTGCTCTTACCGGGGCGCTAGGCCTTGCGGGGATCTGTCGTCCTTTCACACTTCAGAGCCCCTGCCAGCCATGCCATGCCATGCTTCCTCGTGCTGTGTGGCTAGCACCAGATTGTTTGACTTTGAGCCCTCCAAGCCACCCCGCTTTCGTCATCGCTTTGGTGCCTCTGATACCGCCGGATATTGCCCTGAACGGGCGGACTGGAACTGCGACTTGGGAAGACGCTGAGTCGCGTCACCATCTCGATCAACATGTAGGACTTGTGCGATAACGAATGAGAGAGAGAGAGAGAGCCGTGTCTAAAGAATTTTCCAGAATCCCCTCATGCAATTCGCGCGGGCCGCAGATGGCCACAGAAGGCCCTTTTGTGTCTCGATGGCCCTGGAGTGCGTGCCATGCGTGTAAGTGGAAGGATTCAGAACCGACATTACACCGGCACGCAAATACGGCGGCAACAACCACCTGGCACCCACACGGCCGCCACCACCAGCATATATGCAGGGTGCTGCGAGCCTCTTCATCCTGTCTTGCCGGCTGCCTGGGCTCGTCCGATATCCCATGACTCTACGGTCCCCCCTCTGGAATCTCTAACACGGGCGACGTCAAATCGAAGAGAAAACTGAACTTGATATTGGACTGACAGACGATCCACTCTTAACTCCATTAAGTCCGTCGCAGGTCCAGACAGGGCTCAATAGCCGCCTAGAATTCAGGGTTCATGGCCAAGTTGCCGTGGGTGGGTTGTCCAACAACGAGGGGCACCAGCTGGGAATGCCCCGGGGCCGAGCAGAGCATGGGGCGGCTCGCTGCCCGTGTGCTGTGTCCCGTCAAGTCGATCCGCAGTATTTGCGAGTCTGTATTTATGCCGGTATTCGTAGGTACGGACGGATACAGGGCCACGATCCCCCACCATTGGATCACCACCAGCGTCGCATTTTAGCGTCCTTTTCTATCATGATAGCGTAGCCAGCGCAGGCACCAGCCACGGCGCGTTGCTGCGTAAGACGGGCGGCCTACCTAGAGCCTAAAGCACTGGTCGTATCGACGCAGATCAGCACCTTGAACTCCCTCTTGAAGCGGGTGAGCAGTGTGTAAATGAGCAAAGTGGCGGTACCTCTAACTGCTCTGCCTCTGTAGAAAGAACTTCCGCCCACCTCAGCAACCCCCCTTACGTACCTCCTTGGGCCCTTACGGCGCAGCGAACCGGACCCCCCCTGTCACCCATCGCTGATCAGATGCTTCGACTTGCTGATGCTTGTATCCGATGATTCTATCGAATCTTTTCGTCTGCGGAGCGATAGCAGAGCAACTTCACTTCTTCCCTTCCATACCTCACCATACCTACCATTCCTCACCTCTCGCCTTCGCCCTCGTCCTTTGCCTCCCGAGACGTCTCTCTCTGCGCTGCATGTCTTCTCTCGTCTTACGGCACCTCCGACAGCGTTGAGTAATCCGTGGCTTGGTCGCTCTGCGTTTCCATTCACTTCCTTCGCGCCTAATCTAACATTGGCAAAGGCGAAAAAAAGTACCACCACCAGACCCGTCGGTGAGTTGTGACTTCCATGCTTGGGCGTCTCCGGTTGTCGACCAATGCGATCCTTCCATGCCCTAAACCACCAAAAGCTGACGGCGCCTTCCAGTTTATCGTAACCTTACGAGACCTCGACCTCCGCTACACACTCCCCGCCCTGATTGCATTGCGCTATTGCTTCTGCTTCCCAACACTTGCCACAGACGCCTGCGGAAACCTGCGGGAAATCGTCTCTGCGCCTGTTCTTCTTTGCGCCCGCTCCGAGTTGGCCAAAGAGATCCCTCCCTGCCACCCTACTCCACACCCTTCGCAGCGCGGAATACATCCGGTTGCCCTTCTCCTACTCGAGGAGTCGCTCTGAGTCCACATCTGCCAGAGCCCATCGCGACCCTGTGCGCTCTCATATTGGCGCATCGAACCGCTTCTGTGTCAGCAGCCAAATCTGGAAGCAAGGCTGCGCCATATTTGCTCATACCCCGAGGCGAATACTCAGCAAGCGGCAGCAGGCTTCCAAGCAAGACGGTCGCCGCTCATCACGATTATAGGCCCGTCTTTCGTCATACTACTTGAGACAGTGGGGTCTGACAGCCGGAACGCTTCTGCTATACGCGCCTTGCCCTCCCGCCTGCCCCCCTCGAAGCTCACGGCATCTGCACGACCGCTCCTACAGGTCTAGGCTGCCGAAGGTCTAGCCACTGTGAACGTTTCAGTGGCTATCTTCGTCCCCTACTTTCGGAAATCTGACGGCAACCAAGTCAGTCGTTGGCCAGGAACACTTTGTATAAGGATCGACGCCGGCCGCTTGCACTATTCTGAGGCATTGTGCTTCACACACGTGTGCTAGCTGGACGGCACTTTCTGTCCACATACACACAGTCTTCATCCGTGGACATCGCAATCCAGTCGCGTTTCACTCGCTGCTTTGATCCACAGACTGCGTTATCATCATGACTCCCACACCGCCGTCTACGACGCCCTCCTCGGGATCGGGTCGCTCACCTGAGGAGCAGTTTCGAGTTGTGAGGAAGAGGAATAGGGTACCTCTCTCCTGCTACCCTTGTAGGACTAGAAAGTAAGCCTCGAGCCTCGTTTCAAGAGTTTCTTGTTCACTTTGGCTAACTCGTATCGTAGACTGTAAGGATTATCGCGAGTTCATTCCGTCGTGCAGTGTTAACCCGTCGTAGGAAGTGTGACAGAAGTCACCCATGCAGTAACTGCGTGAAGCGTGAGGGCGCCGATACGGCTTCATGTTCTTACGCAACTCCTGCCACTCGCAAGAAGAACCAAAGTCAAGGCGCTTCAAGCCCTGATGACATGCAGAACCGTATTGACCGCTTAGAAGGCCTAGTATTGTCTTTGATGCATGGAGGCGCCTCTATTGATCCCGCAACAGCAGCCGCTGCCGCCGCCGCAACTAGCAGCTCAAACAGTAAGTCGACCACGGAAAGCACCCCTGCGTCGCAAAAGATCGACCACGACGAAGAAGCGATGCGCGACGACGACGACGAGGGCGATGACAGTGATCCAGACGGCGGGTTGGCGACATCGTTGGGGGTATTGAAGGTCGACTCGGACAAGGGCAAGTCCATGTACATTGGCCAAGAGCACTGGCATACAATACTGGCCGACATATCGGAAGTGAAGACGTACTTCACCAACCATAAGAAGGAGTTGGAGAAGAGCTACGAGAAGGTGATGATGTCAAAACCAGCCAGCGCCAGGGAAGGACCGACATTTTTGCTTGGAGCCGCACCCGCAAGCGAGGTCGAGCTGCGTGCAGAGTTACCGCCCAAATCGGCAGTTCTCACGCTGTGCTCAAGGTACTTCAATTCCATGGACAATGCGGTAAATATTATTCATTCTCCGACATTCCAGCAGCAACTCCGAGCGCACTGGCAAGATCCATCGAAAACCCCCATCATGTGGCTTGGCCTTTTGTACTCAATCCTGTGTTTGGCAATGCTCAGCTATCACAAAGTCGGAGACGAGCCGCCAGAGTGGAAGGGGAGGACGTTGGATTTGGCGTCCGAGTACCGCCTTCGCACGGTACAATGCTTGATTGCCGCCGATTATACTAAGCCGGTTGAATATACTGTAGAGACCATGCTTCTCTACGTCTTTGGGGAATACTCATCCCGGTGGGATGCCGATCTGGGGCTCTGGTTGATCGTATCGCTGCTCACCAGGGTCGCCTTCCGGATGGGCTACCACCGCGATGCAAAGTGGTTCCCCTCTTTAACACCATTTCAAGCTGTATGTTGTTGGCTCAATGACGCTTATTTGAACCTAGCTAACCCGAACGTCAGGAAATGCGGCGAAGAACATGGGCTCTAGTAAGAATGGCAGACGTTGTTTTCTCGCACCAAGTTTCCCTGCCTTCCATGATATACGGCCATGACTGCGACACGCAAATGCCAAATAATATCTTTGACGAGGAGTTCGGGCCCGAGACCAAGGTTTTGCCCCCATCGCGGCCCAAGACGGAACCGACTCCGATTGCGTACATGATTGCCAAGTCCAAGCTCTGCATCGAGATGGGCGACATTTTGCAGGCGACCAACCGTGTGGGAAGGCAAGTTCCGTACGACGAGATTCTGCGGTTCGACGCCCGCCTACGGCAGATCGACCAGGAGCTTCCGCCGCATCTGAAGGTGGCACCGTTGGAAGGCTCACACGACCCGGTGACTCTGATCATCGCGAGGTACAACATCAACGTCCTGTACCTCAAGATCATCTGCCTTCTGCACAAGAAGTATGTTCCTCGGGCCAGACAGAACCCACGATATGCCTACTCCCGCAGAAGTGCGGTGGAGGCCGCTTTGGAAACTTTGCGGCATCTGGTCACGCTTGACCGAGAATCACAAGCGAACGGCAGACTTCGTTCACTGAGGTGGTTTGTCAATTCAATTGCCACCAAGGACTTTTTGCTCTCTGCCATGTTGGTTGCTCTCGACCTCCATTTCGACCGTGTAGCAGAAACGAGCAACGACCGAAGAGCATCCGAATCAGCCATGTTCTGGACACCGGAGCAGAGAATGGAAATGCTCAGCAACCTTGAGATTACCAAGGGGATCTGGCAGGGGCTGGCGGATACTTCAATGGAGGCCTTCAAGGCCACGAAGGTTCTCGACATCATGTTGGAGAAGATCAAGAACCCCAATCCCGAGGCGGATGGGGCGGACGCCATGAAGGGCGAGCAGTTCTCGAGCTTCGACAGCAGCCCCGAGATGCAGACGGAGCACAATGCTGCCATGACCCTCGGCATGCTTTCTGGAGGTATGACGCCCAACACGGCAGCTGCCATTGAGAGCACCATGCAGGCGCAGAACACGTTTGGTGGAATGGATTTTGGCGTGGCGCTGCCGATGACCGGCACGGGAATGACGCCGAATTACTCCGGAGGAGGAGGGGATTTCGGCATGAATGGCGTGGGATCTCCGCTCTCAATGTTCACGAACCTTGAAGCAGGCGGAGATTTCCCCGCCAACTTTGACTGGGTAAGCCTCGATCCCCGCACCGGTCATCCTTTCACATGCTAACCAAATGCCAGAATGCGTTCGAGTCGTTCACGCAGAACGCCAACTGGGGAACCGACGCTGGTTTCCAGCAGATTTATCCCGGGCAGTCGTCTCCTGAAACGGACGGCACCGGCATGCCGTTCAACGGCGGCAACGCGGACATGGCGGGATGAGGGGTCGCTTCTGATGATGCATTTAAGAGGCAACTGACGACGCTATGAGGAGCTGGTGGAATTGGGTAATCTGCAGCGATTGGGCCATCTTGGTCGGATAAAAGGTGGACGGCGGAGACTCCGCGTTGGAGATGGTTTAGAAAGGTCAGAAGGTCGGCTGGCCTTTTCTACGCTACTGAAATGAATACCCTGCTCTCTTTTAAACTCCCAGCATATGCAGGTGTGCACGATGTGAAAGTGAACGGCCCGATGGCATGAAGCAGTGTGACGCCTCCCGGAATGTGTGTTGATGTCGCATCGGACGAACCACGTGGGCGTGGTTGGCCGAAGGGACGGGATGAAAGGTCGAAAGCGCCATGGAGACGACAGCCTCCGGCGTGCCATTCGGCGTCGATGCCGGCCGTAATGCGCAGGAATCGGTCCGTCCCCTGAGCCGTGGTGGTGGGTAGATGGACGGCGACCTGGGCGGCGGCCCTGACAGTGACAGCTGCTCCGGATGATGGGGACACATGGTCACTGAAGAAGCGATGCGGGGATGGATGATGATTCTGGTTGCGCGTGCCGTGGGGGTGAAGCCTGCAAGGAACGGCCAAAACCTGCTGCGTTGGGGAGCCTTTGGACCTCGTGTGACTGGCCTATGCCCACTTGACGTCGAGTCAGGCGGGCCCTTTGCGCATTTTAGGGCGTAATCTTGGGATATCTCAACTCCGCTGGGCACTCCGCCCTTTTTTTGGGCTGGAGGAGAGTTTGCGTTACGACGGCATCCCACCACTTGGCAACTGCAAGCTTTCTTCCCCCCTCGGTCTCACGGAGTCTTGGTTTTGCTTGTTTCTTCATCAGTCCATCACGCCGATGCAAAGCAGTTGAACATGCACCGTCATCCAGACTTGCAACAAACACACGCACCGCTTGGCAACTCTTGAAGTTGCGGTGCACACCTTCTCGGCCTCCCCCCTGGAGCGGTGAGGGACGGGACACCCCCGCTGATAGGGCCGATCGACCAGGCCGAACCCCAGTTAATACGACCCTCCTTACGCTGCTGAAGAAAAAAATAAAAACACGAATGGGAGTCTCTTGCCCGTCGGCCCGTGATTTGGAAGGTCACCGAAAGAAGGCGCAGTTGCTCAGTGTGTCTGTCTATCCCACGGGCAGGAAAAAAATAAGCAGAAGCACAGAAAGCTTGCCTTTCAACATTTATACATATTAAATGCAAAGTGCCAGTCGACGCGGGTTCCTGGACATTACGGAGATCGTCCCTGCCTTGACCGATCAAATCAAACCTTGATTAACTACCACGACTCGCCCCGGTCTCTCCAACCGTTGGAAAACTCCCTCTTGGGACCTCGACTTGCCCAAATCACTCGACCTCATCTCATATACTTTCCCTCCGCGCCCTAAGCTCCCGGACATCTGCGGACGACTGAGAAACCAGCCCATCGGACTCTCTGCGTCTCCTGGGGATCCTTGCCCTGTCACCTGCAGGAACGCGGCTTTTTGCGAAAACGATGGGATGATCAGAAATCCAACTCCTTAATCTGCATTCAAAGTGTCCAAAGAGCTATCCACACGGAAACTCTATCTGACTCTCACGTCGTTGCTATTCCCGCTATGAGCGAGGGAGAAGGAGATATATAAGCCAAGCTCTGTACGACGTCACGATTCCCGCGATCCCCTTTCACGAGACGACGTTTCTGTACACACTCTTTTCTTGCGGTTTGGTTTTTTGATTCTTTTTTTTGAAGTTTGAAGTCACTCATTTTTTCTACCTTCTTTTTTGAATATCAGTCACTCTCTAAGCGAGGCAACTTGGCAACCTCAGCAACGGCGATGAGGCTCCTCTCGGCACCGGCCTTGGCGGCCGCCGTGGCTACCGGCGCATCGGCCCTGAGCGCCGCGGAATGGCGGACTCAGACGATATACCAGGTGGTTACCGACCGGTTTGCGCGGACCGACGGCTCGACGACGCACCCGTGTGTCGACTCGGAGCAGACGTACTGCGGCGGCACGTGGCAGGGTATCATTCAGCAGCTCGACTACATCCAGGAGCTCGGTGCGACGGCAGTGTGGATTTCGCCTTTTGTCAAGAACATTGACGGCAAATCCGCTGACGGGTGAGTTTTGTTTTTCCCCGTCCATGAAATCTGAATCGCATTATGAGAAGACGATTCTCCGTATGAGAAGTCATGCATGAGACTGGTTGCAGAGGACGGCTGCAATAAGAACTTGGTTAACACGTCAAACAGCGAATCGTACCATGGATACTGGACCAAGGATATCTGGAATGTCAATCCTTCCTTTGGTACCCCTGAGGACCTGAGAGCCCTGTCTGATGCGGTCCACGCTCGTGGCATGTACCTCATGGCCGACGTCGTCACCAACCACATGGCTTGGATTGGAAAGATGAACAGCGTCGACTACTCCACGTTCAGTCCCTTCAACAACGCCTCTGCCTACCACACGCCCCCCTGCTGGATCAACTACGACAACCAGACCTCTGTTGAGAGGTGCTGGCAGGGAAGTGATGCCGTCCCCTTGCCTGACCTCCGCACCGAGGATGGCATCGTCCGCCAGGTCTTCAACAACTGGATCAAGCGCATGGTCAGCCAGTACGGCTTTGACGGCCTCCGTCTGGACAGCGCCAAGCACGTTGAGAAGTCGTTCTGGTCTGGCTTCGAGACCGCCGCCGGCGTGTTCTCAATCGGCGAGGTGTTCCACGGCGACCCCAAGTACGTCGCGCCGTACCAGGACTACATGGGCGGGGTGATGAACTACCCCGCCTACTACTGGATCACGCAGGCCTTCCAGTCGACGACGGGCAGCATCTGGAACCTGCGAGACGGCATCAAGACGCTCGGCTCCACGGCGCGCGACCTCACGCTCTACGGCAGCTTCCTCGAGAACCACGACCAGGCGCGCTTCCTCCACTCGACCGCCGACATGGCCCTGCTCAAGAACGCCCTCACCTTCACGCTCCTCATGGACGGCATCCCCGTCATCTACCAGGGCCTCGAGCAGGGCTACAAGGGCGGCGAGACGCCCTACAACCGCGAGGCGCTCTGGCTGTCGGGCTACACCACCCAGACGGAGCAGTACCAGTGGATCAAGAAGCTCATCGGCCTGCGCTCCACCATGTCGGCCCAGGACGGTGGCTACCTCTTCTACAAGGCGCTGCCCATCTACACGGACAGCCACATCATCGCCATGCGCAAGGGCTTCGACGACGCCCAGGTCGTCAGCGTGTACGCCAACGTCGGCGGCAACAGCACCTTCGGCGTGGCCCTGGGACAGGCGGAGACGGGGTTCCGCCCGTGCAAGCTCATCATGGAGATCACAAAGTGCAAGCCGTTCGTGACAGACTCGAGCGGCGTGCTCCAGGCGCACAGCGGCACCGGAGAGCCGCTCGTGTTCGTCCCGGCCGAGCGGGTCATGGGGACGGGTATCTGTCCTGGCGGCATAGGCAAGCCACCTCCTCCTTCGCGTGCCCGTCGCAGCACCAGCAGTGAATCCCCGTCCGCGACGGCCACGATCGCTTTTGAGAGGACTGATTATAACTTAGATTACATAGGACGTTTTAATAACATGACTTCATCCTGCTGAGGCGACCCCACCCACGCACCGTGACAACAACTCCGACGAACGGCGATAAGTCGACGACATTCCTTTTACTGTGCGGACACAGTGCCAACAACACCGTGACAAACATCCATCGGCCCCACGATTAGATCCATCGATCCATCGAAGACCAACATGAACAAACAAGCAGTGGCAAATAACCAAACAACAAACGTGTGAACAAACATAAAAACGTCCTCAACATCGAACAAAAACAAACATTTCCTCGTCTACCCTAGTATTAAGTCCTTTTGTCGTACATGAATTTTCGGCATCGGTACTCACTCCAGCAACCCGCCGTGTACATATGGGAGGAAAAATGGTACTCGAGGTGGGGCGAAGATGCCCCCCGGATGCGACGACTTACACACTGTGACGGCACCGCGGCATCACTTATACCCACCCATTCGAAGCCTCACCTTGAGTGCGCATATTCGGTGTTAGTCCTTTTTACTTTTGCCAAAACATACGCTGCAATTACGCATAATATCTCAATCACTTTGGCACTCTGATGTAAACCAATAGGTTTTAGTGTGTAATATCTGTTTTGTTTGATTGAACAATTGTGAAAAATGTCATATTCCTCGTGAGCCCCCATCCCGATTATGCGAACTAAAAATGCTATGTACAAGAATCTTTGAAGACGATCCAGTTTGAAAAAGGGAGCCTGCCCTTCTACGCCAGGCCAAACGCAGCCTTGGCCCGCGTCCAGTACGCGACGCGGTCCTCCGTGCCCGAGGTGCCGATGCACTCCATGTACAGCGTGAACCCGCGAACAGTCCCCTCGGCGAGCTCGTCGCGCGTGCTCTGGTCGCAGTACGTCGTCAGGTACCACGCCGCGGAGCCCCAGGCGTAATCGTCGGGCATCACGAGCGCGAGGACCTCGTTCTTCTTGTCGTCCGACAGCGTGCTGCCGTCCGCGTCCGCGGAGCCTGCGATGGCGGTAGCCATGTCCTTGAGCTCGGGGATGGAGAGCGCATATAACAAATTGTACTTTGGCATCTGCAGGTTGCGGGTGCCCTGGCCGGGGCGGCCGGGGGCGGGATAGTGGTTGCGGTTGTACTTGAAGTCACCCGTCTCGAAGGCCATGAGGGAGAGCAGGGCGGCGATCTCGCCGGGGCGGTAGACGGCGTACTTCTGCATGGCGGCGGGGACGAACTGCGCGGCGTGCTCGGCGGTGGCGCACTCGTCCGGGAAGGCGGCGCCGTCGCAGGTGGAGGAGGTGGGCGCGACGGCGAGGAGGATGGCCGTGGCGTTGTTGTTGCGTACGGCGACGGGCGAGGCGAGGGCCAGGCCGGCGAGGAGGGTGAGCGGGAGGAACTTTGCGAGGACCATTTTGAAGGTTTTGGTTTTTGGTGAACTCGGATGAGGTAGAAGGTTTAGGATGAGCAGAATGCTTGTTTCTTATGGTTGTCCAGGTGGTGCAGGGTGGTTGAGGTTGACTGAGGTGTGACGTAGGGTTCGTGATAGGTTTCGTGAGATGAGAGAACGAACGGGTGGCGTTGTGGTTTTTGTACAATGTTGAAGACAGGACAACGAAGGACAAAAAGGCTATTGTCCCGGAGGAAACAAACAGAGAACGAACGGCGGTGGCTCAAGTGAGTGACACAGTCAGACCAGGAAAAAGGCGAAGCAAGGCGAAGGAGAGGAAAGCGCAGTTCCGCAGGGAGGGTGCGAGTGCGAAGAGGAGGGTGTTTGTGTCTTTTTTTTCACGTCGTTATTACCCCAGTATAAGAACGACAAGCCTTTTTAGTACGGACACTGGGCAGCAGCAACAGCCGCACCCCTGAGCACAGCAGCATCTGAGTATCGGTAGGGGTTAGTTCGGAGGTTTCCCTTTGGCTAGGACTGTTCGTAAATGAGCGGTAGTAAGGCTGGTCATGCGGGATGCCAGTCAGTGCCCTTGATCGCTCCTCCCGTCGTCTTGAAATCCTCCTCTCCTTCCTGCTCCGTCACCCATCCGCTCTCTCCGCGCGCTTAAGCCAGTGGAATTGCACCCTGATTTCCCCACCATGGAGTGACCTTGCACAACAGAAGTCCCTTGGGATGGTTTCCTTTTTGGAGAAATGCTTGAAGCTAGACCCTGGCCAGTGGCCAACCAGCAGAAAGGGGGGGAAAGAAACTGAACTTTGGACCACAGATCGTCGGCGAGGCCAGGGCGAGGTGGCCGTGGTGAAACGAAACAGGGGCCAAGCACTTGCGCTGCGTTGGGAGCGCATCTCCCGGGCTCTGTCAAAAAAGATGCAGCTGCATGCCATCGATTGGCTGAGCGTTGCGGCTGACGGTGCGGAGGCTTCTTTACGACCCCCGGCTCGCGGAGGATGGCTGCGGTAGTTTAGAGGGGCAGCGAGTGCCGTTGGTGCCGGGAGGGAGCAGACGAATGCCAAAGGCTGGCTGGGAGGCAACGTCTCTGTAAAAAAGGGGAACGTCTGTCTCCGTCGTTTGGCCTCCTGCGTTTGACTACATGGTAGTGCGTGTGGACGTCGCGTGGGCATTCGTGGGATTAGACGGGGCGAAAAGCAGGTTGCCGTGATGGTCTCGCCATGTTGAAACATCCGGCCGGTTTTTCTCGTTGGCAAGGGAAAGGAAGCAAGCCAGTGAGAGCAAAAAAAGGTTGATGGGCTGTCATCCTGTCTCTCCCCCGAGTCTTTCCACCTTACCCGCGCCGTCCGAGTTGAGCCAGGGGCATAACCTGGCCAAAAAGGCCCGTGGCTTGGGCGGGCTCGTGTGATGTTGCAGATAGACAGAGCTCGCAGATGATGATCCATCTTGGTTCATGCGAGTTAGTGGTCAAGCACAACCTTGAACCACCACCACCAAGACGGGCAGCCCTAGGACTGGGGGCCTTCGGAGACGATAGGCCTGGGAGGGGCGCTGCAACCTGCCTAGGTTGTCTGCTATTCCTCCTGGACCTTAATTCGGGTTGCACCGCCTGGGATTGGGTTAATTTTGGAGGGGCATGACAAAGACGCAGTGGAGATAATAAGGATCATGATTGCGAGACAAAGGCTGATTTGAAGACGATTCCTTGAAGACAATGGCTGCTGAGTGAGACCCAGCAACGGCTGGCTGGCTTGTCGAACGAAGGATTGCCAAAGTCCGATGAACTGCCCCCCTGCTGGATGATGCTCAAAGCCCCTTCCCTGCCTGCAAAGCCACCACCACAAATTACATAAGCCGGGGCGCTTGCTCGACTGAGGCGTTGGTCTGCTGCAGCCTGGATCGACCAATGAGCTGCGGCCCGCACTAGCGGCCCCAGGATCGGTTCCTGCGCCGCTAGACTCACCCGACGCGACAAGTGCACCAACCTCCAAATCGCGACCACCACATCAGCATCCAGCTCTCATCAATTGCGCAGCATCGATACCATCTCCAATACCGAATCAAATTTATCGCTAACCGAAAACGCACCCGACGCCATGGGGGAGAATCAGCCGAACGGAGCCGCTGCCGCGCAGCAGCCTGCGCCGACAATGCAGCTGTACCGAGAGGAGCAAGCCCGTCTGCGGCAAATGTTGGACAAGAGAGCAGCGATTGCGAGGCGGCTCGCTAATATCGAGTCGGAGATCGAATCCAAGGAAACGGCCTATCTTGACAGCACACCAAACGGCAATATCATTGCGGGATTCGACAACTACATCAAGGGCACAGGCGCAGCCGCGCAGAGGAGGAAGGCGGGTGCTACGGAACAGAATCGCGTGTTTTCACGGTCTTCGATCTCGTACCGTCCTGGCAGTGTATGTAACCCTTCAACAATGAATGTGGGTGTGAGAGAAGTCATTAACGGGTTTTCAGGAGGCTACCACACCCGGCTCTACGCCTGCTTCTCATGCGCCGACACCGTTGTCCACCTCGTTCAAGGATGGCTCCGGCTCAAATCACGCTACGCCCACGTCTGCCACCGCTTCCAAGTCAGGCAAGAAGAACAAGAAGGCGAACGAGGAGGACAGTGACCACGACTCGCAAGCCCCGAACAAGAAACGCATCAACTTTGGCGCTGGACGGAAGTAAGGACGGCAGCAGGGCTCGATGAAGCTTTCAACGCTGAAAGGGCACCAGTTCGCCATCGCAGCAGGGATTTTGGTGGCATCTGCAGCTTGCCCAGATGCCATATTGATGGCAATTGTCGACTGTCATGAGTTGGCCGCACCTGCGAGAACTCAGGGATCCGAGATGATGGATCACAACGCGACCCACGACAACTTTGGAGTTCAGGATTATGATACCCTTAAACCATTTGAAATATTACTGTTTGAGTTGAAAGGCTGTGTCTGCACCCAATCTTTGGCCCAGGGCATAGAGCTTCAGTTCATTGAAAACTGCCTTCATTTGTCGATGTGTCCCGTTCACCCGTCTCAAGGTCCATATTTACAGCAATGGTCTCTTCGACGACTGCCTGGAAAACGAAGGTTCTTGGTAAGCTTGGGACAATGATAACTCTACTTTGAACTCTTGACCTCGCTCTCAGTGTTGGAGAATGTCCAGGAGAGTTGACCTTCAGAAAGACAAGCTGGGCTAGGCAAGAGACACAATCGCCGTCGCGAAACGCTGCCTGAATAGTCCAATTGGCCGGTGTTTAGCGCCGTTGGCTGGCACTTCTGCACCGAGAAAGCGGCAAAAGTTCCTGGTGGAGACGAACTTTTGAGTCTCTGGGCCTGTAGGCCACTTCGATGGAACTGCGAGGCCGGACATGACTCCGCTTGATGGTGAGGTCTGCCTTCGAGCAGTAAAGAGAATGTATGCAACTGCCTTTCTCGGCTTACGGTGCGAGACTATTGGCCAAGACCAGGCATTTCGTCTGGATGAGATTGTTTACCTTTTGACACCTCTACGGACACGGTCAATCAAGATACTATCTTCATTCAACCTTCGCAATTGCCACGGCTAGGCCTTCGTTCCGTCCTGAAATGTTTGACAAATTGCGAAGGCCAAGACATTGTTCACTCAATCATCAACCCAGGTTACTCGCATCATGCATCATCCTGCCTCCGACTGAAGCTTTTAGCCGTCTGCTTCGCGTGATGCTCCCCAGCTCTATAGCGCCAAGTGGTTTCGGAGCCGATGGGACGGTCTGCAGTGAGGGGTTTGAGGGGTGCACCTGAGCCTGTGTAGCGCTTGAGCAGGGGCCCGAGAACCTTGTCGGCTCTCTAACAGCCGTTGCTAGCCCGGTTTGTAGCTAGTGCGGGGCTCCTCGACCAAGCTCCATGCCAGCAGGTCGACCCCCGTCGTTGAGGTGCGCTCTGCAACAGAGGAACAGAATCGCTCGTCATACATCTACAGCTCAGCTCCCACGTTGACCTTCCGTTGTTGGTAGTCCTCCTTTCCAGTGAATCTCGTGATTAATGAAGTATCAGGTCCCTCTGCAGCTCCTCATGATGACGATACAAGCTTCCAAGTTTACACCCGAGGTCCTCCTCTCTGCCCCGCGCAGGTCTCCCGGTGTTCCCAACCCATCGGGCTCCAAAGTGCTGTACACTGTAAGTCTATGACAATGCTCTATCTAGGCGCCGCCCCAATTAAGCGTGATCTTTGAATGCGGCGACGTGACTTTGAGCATGCATTGGTTGACTTGGTCAGGTTTCGGCGTATTCATTTGAATCCCACAACAAGACCGCCCAGACTCGCGTTCTCGACGTCGAGAGCGGCCACTCCACGCTCCTCTACGAGGACCAGTCCTATAACGATGCGACATGGATTTCAGACCAGGAGATTGTGCTCCTTCGCAGCGGCGAGAAGGGCACCACCAGCCTTGTACTGGGTAACATCACCGAACCGTCCGTGTAGGTGCTTCGCTTGGCGAAAACCTTCAGAGCACGACTAACAATGAGGTGGCAGAGTCAAGGAGATCCGTAACTTTGAAGGAAGTCTATCGAGTCTGAAAGTCAAGCGACTCTCAGACAACGAGGTCGCGATTGCTCTGTGCGTCTTGACCACCCCGTCTGGGGCCATGTACAACCCCGCGGCCGAGAAGAAGCAGTTGTCGTCAGGCAAGATATACTCGAGTCTGTTTGTTAGACACTGGGATACATGGGGCAACGAGAACCACAACTCTCTCTGGTACGGACTGTTGAAAAAGGAAGATCAGTCGTACAAGTTGGAAGATCCCGGCTTGGTGAACGCCCTCGATGGCACAAAGTTGCAGTCCCCTGTCCCTCCATTTGGTGGCGCGGGAGACTTTGACATCAGCAAGAACGGACTCGTCTTTGTTGCGCGCGACCCCGAGATCTCCCCAGCAATTTACACGAAGACCGACCTCTACTTTATTCCTTTGAAGTCGTTTACGGAGACTAAGCCGCCTGCGCCTCAGGTGGTCAAGACGAGCAAGCTTCGTGGCTACTCCGCCTCGCCGGTGTTTTCAAGGGACGGCAAGAAGGTTGCATTCACCAGGATGAAGAGCGACCAGTACGAGACGGACAAGCCGAGACTCTTGCTGATTCCGGACATCTTCGACTTGTCGAGCGTGCAGGAATTCTATGAGACAGAGGATGGCGTTGGCGGATGGGACGCTCGGCCGGAATGGGTCACCTGGAGCAAAGACGACTCGGAGCTTTTCGTGTCCGCTGAAGAACACGGTCGCGCGAAGCTATGGAAGCTGCCTGCGACGCCACACCAGGCCAAGGACCTCCCCGCCGCAATCTACGAGGATGGCTCAGTTCTAGAGGCGAAGCTGCTGGGAGACGACGGCAACAGTCTGTTCATCAGCACGTCGTCTAGAGTTGAGAACTCGGCTTACTCGATTCTGGACCCTGTCAGCAAGAAGTCAGATCTCGTTTCGTCAAGCTCAAAGCACGGCAAGTCTCTCGGTCTGTCCAAGTCTCAGTGCGATGAGTTCTGGTACAAGGGAGCCGAGGGTTACGACGTTCACGCGCTCGTGGTGAAGCCATCTAATTTTGACCCAAACAAGAAGTACCCGCTCGCCTTCCTGATCCACGGAGGGCCTCAGGCTGCGTGGATGGACAGCTGGAGCACTCGCTGGAACCCGGCCATCTTTGCTGAGCAGGGATACATCGCGGTGATGCCAAACCCGACGGGAAGTACCGGCTACGGACAACAGCACACCGACAACATCCAGAACGAGTGGGGTGGCCGGCCGTACGTTGACTTGGTCAAGTGCTTTGACCATATTGAGAAGAACATCTCATACATTGACTCGAAGAATGCGGTTGCTTTGGGTGCTTCTTATGGAGGCTACATGATCAGTAAGTCGACGACAGGCTTGGACGTGGCACATTGCGCTAACTGTCTGCCAGACTGGATCCAGGGCCACGAACTTGGAAGAAAGTTCAAGGCGCTTGTGTGCCACGACGGTGTATTCTCAACACTCAACCAGTGGTCTACCGAAGAGTTGTTCTTCCCCCTCCACGACTTTGGAGGTACTCTCTGGGAGAACCGCACGGGCTACGAGAAGTGGGATCCTGCTCACCACCTCGACCAGTGGGCCACCCCTATGTTGGTCATTCACAACGAATTAGACTACAGACTACCGATTTCAGAGGGTCTGGCGATGTTCAATGTGCTGCAGGCACGCAAAGTACCCAGCAGGTTGGTGATGTTCCCTGATGAGAACCATGTAAGTGCCAATGCTGAGTCCGGGCTTGTATGATGGCTAACTTCAGAACAGTGGGTCTTGAAGCCAGAGAACTCCTTGGTATGGCATAGAGAAGTACTTGGCTGGATCAACAAGTACACTGGCATCGATAAGGCGGAGGATCTGTCCGTGAGGCAGAAGTAAGGAGCCGCAAGGGGTGAGGTTGGGCAATACAAAATTGAACTTGAGGTTAGCAGTCAGGCAGGTTTCGGTTGTAAAAATATTGGATAGCCCTGGTATGATTCATGCAGAGATGGAGTGGACAGTAAGTAGGGAAAACTCCAAGAGTCAGATATGAAAATGAAGGAGAGATTCTGCACCGCGCAAACAAGTTCCAGTGACTGACTACATGTACAAACACAGTGTTCACACTGTAAAGCCCAGCGAACGTTCCTGCCAAAATGACTGCAGCCCAAGAGCTCCTGCATTTTCTGGTCCGAGCTCCTTCCAACGAGGCTGAAATTTCGAAGTGCGCACCTGCTTGGTCTCGAAGGCCAGACCAAACAAACATCGATTACTGACGACTATCGCGAGACGACGGATCGAACGCGACGGCGAATCCGTTGAAACACTGCGGCGACCCGAAAACGCGTACCAAAGCATCATGCGAAGCTCTCCAACACAGCTCCAGAATCGATGGTGACGGACGGAATCGCACCTTCTTGCCCTGCCACAGCACCCGCGATTTCCTCTTGAACCACGCTCATTCTTCTCGACTACGCGGAAACCGACCGGCAATAACCTATTTCCACACGCTAAACCGGTGTTCACCGAACATAACACAACCAACTACACATACACATACCCAAAATGACGCCCCCACCATTACTCTTCCACGCCCTCCTCCGCCCCGCGGTTCTCCAGATCCTCCGCGCGACAGGCTACCACGCGGCGCGTCCGGTCGTCCTCGACGCCGTGACGGAGCTGGCAGCGCGGTACATGCTGGCCCTGTGCCAGGCGACAGCGCGGCACGCGTCGGATAACAACCAGGAAGGCGATGCGCCGGGGATCGTGGACGTGCGCATGGCGCTGCAGGAGCTGGGCGCCGTGCCACCGGACGATGTGAGCGCCGAGGGACGGGGCGCGATACTGGGAGAGATCCTCGACGACGTCATGGAGGCGAACGGCGTCGCGGGTGCGCCTGCAGAGAACGGCGACGACGTCGCGATGGCGAATGCGGGGACGGTCGTGGAGAGGGAGCGCGAGAGGGAGGTGGTGGTGGAGGATGTCCGCGGCGTGGAGGAGTTTATCAGGTGGTTTTCTGGACCGAGGAACAAGGCCATCCGCGAGGCGGCAGTGGGCGACGGGGAGCTTGAGCTCGGGGATTACCTGAATGGTTTGTGAACCCCCCGGTCTGTTTGACTGAAGATGATGAGACTAACGATGACGCACAGTCCTGAAGAAGAAGCACAGCAAGACCGGCGAAGACTCAAAGTACCTCGGCACGATCATCGGTAAGGGCAACGACGTGGGCGAGGTGCAAGTCGAGGGTGGCGACCTACCCAGCATCCACACGTGGCGGGCCAAGATGCGCGGACCCTCACCGGCGAGCGCTCTGTCGGCGACATCACCGAACATCAAGGAGGAGTCGAGGCCGCCGAGCTCCGGGCTGAGTTCTGTGGGCGACAGGCTGGGCGACGATCGGGACAGCATGGATTTGTCATAGGAGACGGACACGCGAATTACTAGATCGAAGGCACGTGGCGCTCGACGGCAACGAGGCGGTGTCAGGTTGAGGAAGAAGGTGACGAAGTGATTACCAAAGGGCATAGCGCGGCGTTTTACCGGGGGGTCGTGATTTTTTTTTTGGACAGGAGGGGAGACGTTTACACTACAAAAGCATTGTCTTTGGGGCAGATGGCATGAGAGAGACATTGGCGGCTCAGGGGGGCGGTATCATACATTTATTCCCGGCCTAGCTGGAACTCGCGCAGGTGTCCAGCTATGGTAATCCATCAACATTTCACGAAGCTGCATTGAACATGAACACTGTCAATCTATATCTATTGTATTACTAATCAATCTTCTCCTGCTACGGGCGACAGCTCAGTCCATCTACCGCATAAACTCGGTGACACGGTCGAGGTTGAAGGCGGCGCTGATGAGGGCCAGGTGACTGAAGGCCTGGGGCGTGTTGCCGAGCTGCTCGCCGCTGCGGGCGATCTCCTCGGAAAACATGCTCAGGTGGTTGGAGAAGCTGAGCATGTTCTCGAAGAGGTTGACGGCGCGGACGAGGTACTTTGGCTCGTAGACGGAGGCGCGGGTCATGGCCTCGACGAGCCAGAAGGTGCACATGCTGAAGGCGCCCTCGCGCCCGCCGACGCCGTCTTCCGAGAGCTCCGTGTCGTAGCGGTAGACGAGGCCGGTGCTGGTCAGGCCGCCCTTCTCCGGGGGCAGGAGGATGCGGTCCATTGTGTTGAGGAAGCGCGGGTCGTTGGGGGCGATGAAGAAGACCAGCGGGGCGATGAGGATGGAGGAGTCGATCATTGTGTTGTTCTCGTAGCTTTGGACGAAGGATTTCATCTCCTTGTTGTAGCCTGGGGGGCCGTGTTAGTGAGATTGATGGTGAGATGGGGGAAACATGTGTCAGCGAAGGGCCGACATGCCTTTGTCCATGATCTCCTCCATGAGGTTGTCGCGGGCCTCGAGCCACTTGCTGCGGTTGGGGCAGGGAAAGTTGCGCTTGTCTGCGAGGCGGAGGCCACGGTCGAAGGCGACCCAGAGCATCACCTTGGAGTAGGTGAAGTTTTGCTTGTTGTTGCGGACTTCCCAGATGGACATGTCGGGTTCTGGAATCGCGTAAGAAGAAGGGTTAAGACAAGTTATGAGGTGGTGAGGTTCTTACTGTCTGTGATTGTGAGAACAAAGTCTGCCGAGTGTTAGCTCGCCGTCGTCTATCCCATTCCAGGAGGGCCTTACCCAACATCTCCCTCACGGAGCACCACTGATCCCAGCTGATTGGCTTCCCGTACTTGTTGTACAGGTATATGGCGTCCATGAGCTCGCCGTAGATGTCGAACTGCTGGTGGAAGGCGGCGCCGTTGCCGATGCGGACGGGCCTGCTGCCCCGGTACCCCTCGAGGTGAGAGAGCTCGACCTCCGGGATGTCGGTCTCGCCGCGGATGGTGAACATGATGGGCAGCTCGCCACTTGGGCCGCGCGACTTGATGAAGCGCTCGCTGATGAAGTCCATGTACGCGTCCGCCTCGGCCGAGAAGCCCAGACGGAGGAGGATGTAGATTGTGAAGCTGGAGTCGCGGACCCAACAGAAGCGGTAGTCCCAGTTGCTGCGTGTCCACTGGTTTAATGAAGGTTTCCTCCGTCATGAGATAGCACAACACTTACCGAACCCCTCCAATGTCCTCGGGGATCGAAAACGTCGGGGCGGCGATGATGGCCCCCGTCGGCTCGTAGGTCATCATCTTGAGCAGCATCAGGCTCCGGTTGACCACCTCCCTCCAGCGGCCCTTGTACCTGCTCTTGGAGATCCAGTTGTACCAGAACGACTGCGTGTCGTGCTGCTGGCCGTCGAGCACCGCCGTGGTGATGTTCTCGGTGACGTGGTCCGGGATGTCGTTGCGCAGCACGAGCGAGATAGCCTGGCCCTCCTCGATCGCGATGTGCGCGACCACGCCCTCGCCGAGCATGCCGTCGCGCTTCTCCTTGGTGAAGGTGACGGACGGCGCGGCGGCGGCCCCGTCGTCGGACTCGGCGTCGACCGTGACGTCGAGCTGGAGCTTGTAGTGCTCGCTGTGGAAGGTCACGGCCTTGCTGGGGTTGCCGCGCGTGTGAGTCTGTTGTACGATTGTGGTGACATGAGGCTCAGTGGCGTATTGGAAGGCGGGGAAGAGCTCAATATCTGTATTGTTTGTGAGTTGAAATGAGTCTGTGAGGGATGTGGATGAGAACACGAACCCATCTCCAGACGACCGCGGATGCACTCGACGCGACGGACGAGCCATTTCTTGAGCTCCTCCTGGATCTTGGTGGTCTCGCGAAAAGCGCTCTGCCGGTTGCTCTTGGCCAGAACGGTGGCTGTCTTTGGGCGGGGGAAGAAGTCTACGAGGTCGACGACGCCGTCGTCGTGAATATATCTCGTCTGAAGGATGTTGGATGATGGGAGGTACTGCTGTCTTTGGGTGTGGTCAGTGTCACGGCCTGTGGTGTGGCTCCGAGACGGGCCTCTCTCTTACTTTGTCGTGCAATGCTTGGATGCGGGAGGGCAGATGCTGAAGAAGCCTCCTTTGTCCTGGTCGAGGAGCCGGCAGAAGACGGTAGGGGAGTCAAAGTCGGGCCTGAAGTATATGTCAGGCTTCTTGATTTAGAGCCATTGGGACATAACGAAGAGCAAGACTCGAATTCCCCGGAAAAGAGCACGTTGACTACGTTGGCTCACTTGAGTTTCCATATGTGTTGGCCAATCAGGCGTCTCGATGAACCATTTTGGCGCCATCAAGTGATGTTGAGCGTAGCAACCGACTTTGGCCAGTTCGTGTAAGTGAACGCCATGCATCAGGACTCCAAAGTGAAATACGTTTCGTACCAACACATATAATCAGCCGAACCATTCATGCCGACGAGCGCGCATGTGCGCATGTTGCCAATCATTCCATAGTCCTCGATAGGTAGGTATCCGGCATGGCTGGCGGCGGCATGTCTCTTCGGACACTGCTGAGCCATGACGTCGGTTTACCGGAGCGGCGGGAAGACTCAGTACTGTCTGTGTTTTTCTTCAAAGATGGATTTCTAGAAACTTGATTGTTGTCGCGGAAAAAGCAATGGTCAAGGCAGGGCTTAACAGACACACTACGTGTTGGTGAGGCTGCACGGTTAATGTCTCTCATCTACGAATGACATGGAGTCGTGGTAAGGTGTGAAGTCAAGCCTCGGTCAAGGGAGAAGGGTAAACTCCGGCCGAGTGCTGAACACGGGAAACACGGGAAACACGGGAAGCTTGCGGTCCTGCAGCTTCGGTGGCTGCTGCGAGGCGCGCCAAAGAGACCGATCTTACCGCTGAGCTTTGTCGAGACGGTGTCTAACTAGTCGAAGGGAAAACGTCCACTAAGACGAAATTCCTGATTCCCATAGAGAACGAACGGACGGCGCTTGCGTCGAGCTGCATATTGTGATACGCATCCAACAGCCAATAGCTGCGAGATCCATCGATGCTGTCAAATGGTTCGAGCTGATTGACTTTGCTAGACAATAGAAACCGACAGAGACTGATGGTCATGTCGAGGCAGACCGATGACGCCGTCGACTTGGCCTTGGACGCGTCGAGAAGCTGCTGCGTATCCACTTGGCGGGAGCGCTCTATCGACGGGAGAGCTGTCAGATCTGCAAGCCGAGCTGAGCCAGGCACATCAGCTACCCTGCGCGAGCTAAGTCGATCCTGTAAACTCGCACCGAGGGCGGGCCAACATCCAGCATCCGTTCTGTCACCTTCTCGCCCGACATTCGGGTTGCTGCTTTCTTCTTCCCTTGGCGTGGATCTTTTGGAAAAGAGCTCCTCTCCGGAATATCCACTGCGGCCTGGCTCACCTGAGTCGTAAGATCGATCGGGCAGGGGCGCAGGAATCCTGACAGCCCCGTTACGCACTCGGTTTAGGGCTGAATGACGGTGGCTGACATCATGACGGCTCTCTCTCACTCTCATCCCTTTTCCCGCTACGCGAGCTGCCCCAAGCTCCTAGAGTGCCACGACGGGAAGGGAGGAAAAGGCGGGAGAGAAACGGCGTGTGGCGGGTGACCGCATTGCAGGAAGCTCCTGTCTCACTCGGGCAAGTGTTCAGGTGAACCAGCTTCGGGAACATTTCTGGGAGAGGAGGGTTAGTGTGTGAGACATGTGCATTCCCAACCAGCTTCCAAGACTGAGAAGGCGTGTATTGTTCGTGAACGATATTGCGGGGGAGGCTGGCCGGGCTCGTCCGTCGCGGTCCATGCAGAAAGAAAAAAGAAACTGTCAATCGATAGATGCCCCGATTTCAAGCCTCCCGGACTCGAGCGTTTTCCAGCCTCTCCCCCCGCCGTCTGTGTAAGTAGGCACAGGATTGTGGCTCGGTCTAGACCTCCATGTGAAAAGGCGGGACAACACGGCCAAGCTGAGAAACAACGTCGTCTATTCGAGAAGCAAACGAAACGACCCGAGGCAAGATCTGTTGGATGGCTGATAGCAAAAGCCTGTTATTGTGCTTGGAAGTCTCGGAAGAAACGGGGCTCCAGAAACAACGACAATGCAACGGTTGTTTAGAGTGTGTGCAGATCGTTTGTCAATCAGCAGGACAATTCAATATGAACTTGGAATTATTGATTTTAAACTTTTGCCAAACATGTCGACAAGTTCGACTTCACATTTCGGATGCTCCTCGGGAGCAGCGGGTCGCGGCACTGTCCGAGAAACCGGCTCGGTAGGCAAGTCTTGATTTCTGGGCGGCAGATTGGTCCGAGGAGGGAAGACAGGCGAGGTAGACACCGCACGGCGAGCAGGACGGTGCTGGATGCATGGTAGCAGTGGTGTGTGCGAGTGCGAGTGGGGTCTGGTCACCCGAGCACTTTCTACTTGCACGAGCGACCACATGGCTGCGTGAACCTTAACCGACAGCAAGGACACCTCCCACGGCTGCGGTAGATGTGTTTGTGTGTGGTGTTGGTCTTGGTGCTGCGGTCTGGTTCACTCGGATGTGGCTGCAGTGTGGCCCAGCCAGCCAGCCAACGGAAGAACCTACCTGTGACTCTGAGCGTGAGAGACGGCTGGACCAAGCTTAAATCGAGGTAAAGGCGTGTGAAACTCGGGAGGACACTTTTCTGCAATTCTTCGGACGACGCTTCCCGGCCGGTTGCCAGCCTGCCCGCCTCCCGGTGTCATGCGTCGAAAAGGCATGGGAGAAATAGGATTAGGGGAGCTAGCTGTTAAAGTGTGCCTTAGTCTTTTTAGGTTGGCATGCTGTAGCTCACTTCGCCTAAAGGCACCATGAAGTCAGGCAATCTTAAATCCCCTTTTAGGTACGGATACCGTTACCCAGCCTCAGGAGAGCAGGCTCAGGAGTCAGGTCAGGCCAGAACTCAGGAGAAATAAGGTAGGTCGTTGAATGAATTGTGAAAATCAGTCAGGCAGTCGGCCATTGGCACACGGCGGGGACGACGAGCCGTCGAACGGGGCCCAGATGGATGACTCAAAGCAGACGGCGTGTTGTTGTGATATTGCGGGCAATGCGTTGGTTTGTTGCCGTTACGTTGCGGTCAGGTAGCAATGTGTCCATGACCAACAAGCCAGACAAGAACGACCCAGTATTTCCTTCTCTCTGGGCTTCCAAGTTCCAACGATCCACGATGGCCCATGATCCTCAGCTCCCGAGGTGGGATGCGGATGGATGCAAGATGCACTAACAGCGGGGGAGAACAAGTCGTCGACACTATGGACCGCTTCCAGTTTGCCAGGAGGACCCGGAAGGCCCGCGGAACGCAGGTAGGTAAGGTAAGGTGAGGAA